GAAGAATGTATGCAATGTGTTAATTATTGAAACTGTCCTACCAATTTGGTTTGAAACTGTCTCATTGCTATTTGTTTCTCAATAAAATTATGGAAAAAATATTAGTGTTACTAAAAATCCTCCATTTTTAACATGATCTGAACAGTTGTTTCATGGTTTGAAAGATCAGAGTTTATTTCTGTTTCTCACTGAAAACTAGTTATAGTGTATTCTATGCCTCATGCATTCTGTTAAGGGTTTTTATAATGTTAAAAGCCTAAATATCAATATAGAACATTGTGAAAGTCTATGGAAGGTAAGATTTAAACTTAAGATCCAAAAGAATATGAGGCAATTGTTTCTTTTTTATCTATTAACATGAACAACCATTGCTTATTCATGTGCTAATATCTTTCAATATTCACTAATCAAGCTAAATTTAAATCACATTTTCTGGATTTAAACGCTACTCATTGTCAATGTGATAAATAACTCAAGATCATTTCCTTTCATAATTACATGGAAAATTAAAGAATTTGAAAAAAATGAAAGATTATACCTTGAATAGATTAGTAATTGATGGAATTTTTATCCCAGACTAAAGGACCTATTCTTTAGGAAATGTTCTGATTATGGCATTAGAGTCATTTTCTTTCTTAGAGGTCAGAGGGCAGGAATGCACACATTAACTTTAAAGAAAATTTCCTTGAATGGAATTAAAATTTCTCCCATATCAATAGGCTTGGTTACATATTAATCCTAAAGATGAGATGAAAAATCAAATAATAATTTACTTATCAAAGGCTTGTATCTAAAGGCCAAGAAGTAAATATCAATAAAGTCTTAAAATCAAGAAAAACCATAAGCCTGCTTTGGTAGTTAGAAGCAAGTAGACCTATAAAAGATGATGTGGAAACACAAGTAGTTCCTCAGACAATCTTTATTTATTTATGTATTTATTTATTTATGGATTTGCTTTGTGAATACAACCATAAATTGTATTTTCGAATTTTCATAATTCCTATCTGCTCAGCTTTCATTGAGATGATGTGAATGTTTCTATAGCTATATTTAAAGGTGATGTATGGCAGAATTTTAATAGCGTGAGTGATGCCTCTCTTAGATAGTGAGTAATTTCATAGACTATTAGTACTAGAAATGTACTTGAAAGCAATAACTTATTTTCATGAAACTGATGAAGATCCTGAAACTGAGTGAGACTCTTGAGTTGTTCCCAGCCAGCCACAAATATCTGTGAAAGCCTTGAAGAAGAACTAGAAACTCACCCTCTCACCATCTCATGGCTTCTTTCTTTCCCAAGTCACTTGCTGCATATATGTGTAACTTACCCTTCCAATTATTTCTACGTAGAGGGAGACACTACTCCAACATGTCTGGGATCATATTTGTTTATATTTTGCCTGAAACCCATGTGGCTTTCTCAATTATTTCAAAGTTCTCTGTATCTTCATAATTTCAAACTGTCACTGAGGTTTTTCAAGCAAAGACATTTCTTTGAAAAGCTGTGTCCACTTTGTACTGGGACAAGTATATTTAGACGTAATAACTAGGGCATTTTCTCATGATGTAACATAGTACCATGACGCAGAACTCAGTACACAGATCACAGAGTCATTGTGAATCCACAGATGAAATTTTAGGTGTAGTGATGTGGAGAATTTTATGCATGGTTCTCCAGTCTGGGAAGGCCACTGACAATGGAACTTGATTAAAGTTTTTCTTTTAAAATTCTTGTTCCTTGAATTTTACTTGGTAATGTGCATGAATTCCAGGCAAAAATTAAAAAAAATGCATACTAGCATATTACAAAAAGGCTTTATATGTTAATTCTTCTCAACACAATAAATATTGCTCCATATTTCAGTAGTTTTCACAATGTCTCTGCATTTAGGAATCTGGATGCCAGAAACAAAAATAGAAGCTTTGCTTAAAAGAGGAGAGGCAAAGAATGGTGCTGGCACAATTATTGGCAAGCGAAGGAAACTTATGGACTCTATTCACTTTTTATCATTCAAAGTTGACATTTAAGATACTGTGGTCTTTTCATCACTATACTACATATTCAGGTCAATTAATATAAAGGCCACTTGTATTGAATATTATATTTGTTAAAAGTTAAATGTACAGAGAATGTATACTTAATATTAGCTGGAAATTACTGTTTCACTGTAGAATTCACACTCATCATCTAGACATCTTCATATTTTCATTCTTATATTGTAGAGAAAATCAGACTAAAAAATCTTGGAAAGATGTTATAGGGACATGATATCCTTTTTGAGAGCATGTTGAAGTTTGAAAAAGAGAGCTGGGAACTTATTTACAGAATTAGTACTTAGTTTCTCCTTGAAACTTTGTCTCTGAGTTATGAGAGACAATTTCTAGTTAACTGAATTCAGCTCAATTTCTAGTTAACTGAGGAATAAATTATTTGTACTGTAATTGTGGAGATGCAGTTGCCCTTAGGCCCATCCTTTCTTCAGCAACCTCTGGATTCCTTGTTTAATCTCCTGGGTTCTCACCCCATAAACAATGGGGTTGAGGGCTGCAGGGATGACATGGTGGAGGACATTAAGCAAGACTGGCACATCAGGAGAGACTTTCTTCTTAGTCACATGCGTGAGGACAAAGACCAGAAGGATGGTGCTAAAGAAGAGAATAAGGATGAAATGGGAGCCACAGGTACTTAGGGCTTTGGCCACAGCACCCTCTGCCTTGAGTCTCAGTACAGCTCTCAGTATGAAGGTGTAAGAGAGGAAGATGAGGATGAGGTCAGAGCCCAGCAAAGTCCAGCCTCCAGCAAACTGATAAAGGCGATTGAGAGTGACGTCATCACAAGAGAGCTTGGAGACAGACATATTGGCACAGATGCAGTTCTCAATGACATTTTTCCTGCAGTAATGGAGTCGTGCTGAAAGAATGGGAATGGGCATAGGAAAAAGGATATTCCTGGCCAAAATAAAGATGGCAGCCCAGATCACAAATTGGTCATTGATGATGGAAGGATACCTCAGAGGGTGACAGATGGCCACATAGCGATCATAGGCCATGACCATGAAGGTGCAGGACTCCATGGCTAGAAAGCTGTTCATAATGAACATCTGAATGAAGCAAGCAGAGAAGCTGATGGATTTGCTGTCAAACCAGAAGATGGTCAGGACCTTGGGGATGACAGTGAGGCAGAGCACAATATCCAGCAGGGAAAGGAAGCAGAGCAGGTAGTACAAGGGCTGATGCAGGGCTGCCTCCATGCGGATAGTGATCAGGAGGGTGATGTTGGCCCCCATGGCCAGGAGGAGGAGGAGGCTGAGAGGCAGGGACATCCAGAGTCGCCCATGAGGGGACCTGACAAAGCAGTTCAGGAGGAAGTCAGTGGAGCTCGTGTCATTTTGATATGCTGTCATATTTTGCCATCTATCTTTGCAACTTCCTTTTTATGATCTGTAAAATTGAGAGAAATGTTAGCTACTGACCCTAGATATATGATGCTAGAATAATGTGCTTTTCCATTGCACCAATTATGATGGGTTATCCAGGCTCAGAGAGCTTATCTGCCTGTCCTGGGTGCTAGGTTACTGCAATATTTTGACCACTGCAAACATTGTAGAACTCTAAGATAATTTACATATACAGTTGACTTATTTAATGTTTGGTTTCAATAAAATTGTTCTGTCTTCACAGTGATGAAAAAGGAGAAAAGTACTGAGACTCGTTTTGCGTGACAGATGGGACTAAAATCTGTACCTGTAAAGTTCCTCCTTTTTCTTTTTAATGACTACCTAGAACAATGATAACACAGTATATATCTGCAACTACACATCTGAAAATGTAGTTGTTGGAACATGACTAAACTAGCAGTGTGTGGCACAACGAAGAGGATTAGATAAGTGTCCCTGGCCCCCATGCCACCCTTATCATGACCTTTCAGTTATATTTGTTTTGCTTTAGATATTTTATTATGCACTACAAATGCAGTGAACATTCATTTTTATGACAGATCTTTTTACTTTTTTGTATTTCTAACTTGTGGAAATGACAAGCCCAAAAGGAGAATGAGAAATTTCATAGCTATAAGTGCACAATAAACATCATCAAACAAGGCAGAAAGTTACGTATCTTCATACAATAATATGTGGATGATGGAGCCCACTTTTCAGATCCTACCAATCCCATCTGCATTTTAGTTTTTTACTTTGTACAGATATAAGTTGTCCACATTAGATTATTCTTTTCTTATTTAGTCTTTCCCTGGATTTCTACTAGATAGTAAGGTCCTAATCTTAGATTAGAATCTATCCTTACTCTCAAGGAAATAAAGTATTATGATCCTGAGGCATTATGAATCAGAAAAAAATAAATGATATGAACGTTGATAGTGCTATGCACAAATTACTCTGAAAAGTTAGGTGACAGCTGAACAACACTGAGAGTCCAGAGGAAGCAATTATAAATGATTGAAGTGACATCCTCATGTACACTAAAAGTAAAGCTTTTTCTGTGTCCCTCTCCTGAAAGAGAGAGAGAGAGAGAGAGAGAGAGAGAGAGAAGAGAAGAGAAGAGAAGAGAAGAGAAGAGAAGAGAAGAGAAGAGAAGAGAAGAGAAGAGGAGAGAGTCTGTAGCCCAATGCACCTTGGCAGAGTCAGATGAAAGTCACCTATTTCTAGACTCTCATATCATAGGATTCATCATACTTAATTCTGTCAATTGGAATAGAGGCCTTTCTTAAGGTACTGTTCTTCAGGTACAGTAATTACCTGAAGAACAATACCTTAAAATCTATATTTCATCAAATGATGCTGGAAAAAACTGGTTTCCCACATACTTAAAGCTAAAGCCAGACCCAGGTCTATCACCAGGCCCTAAACTAAAGTCAAAATGGATTAAAGATCTAAGCGTCAAAATAGGAACAATAAATCCACTGGAAGAGAAAGTAGGTGGAAGGCTTCAAGACATAGGAGTAGTCAGAGTGTTCATGAACAAAAGCAAACTACACTGGAAAAACTTCAGTGAATCAACAATGGGGGTGTCATCATTGAGATGCTTCTTCATGACAAAATCATTACTAATAAGAGTGAGAAGACAACTCACAAACTGGGAAAAAATCTTAACCGACAGTCACTCAGACAAGAGACTTCTATCAAGAATATACAAAGAAATTAAAAAAAGTCAGTTCTTCAGGTCTAATCCAAAAATCAATATCTGAGATGAATACATTCTTCTCAGAGGAAGAAATACAGATGGCAAATAAATATGTGAAAAAATGTTCCATAGAAATGGTCATTAGAGAAATGCAAATTGAAACAATACTGAGATACTATTTCACCCCAGAAATACTATCTCACCTCATAAAGAAATCAACTAATGCTAGAGAGGCTGTGGGGAAAAAGGAAACCTTTACTTTTTGTTGGAATATAGACTGGTACAACCACTATGAAAATCAGTGTTGAAACTCCCCAAAAACCTAGGATTGGAAGTTCAATGCAACCCAGCTAATTCCCCTTCTGAGTATTTTTCCAAAAGAACTGAAAACACCATACCACAGTGATATATGTGACCCATGTTTATAGCGGCACAATTTGTCATAGTTAAATCTTAGAAACAGCCCAAATGCCAATGCTGATGAATCGATAAAAAGATGTAGTATTTTACACAATAAAGTATTACTCAGCTATAAAGAAAGATAAACTTGTAGCTTTTCTAGGTAAATGGATGCAAATAGAGGCTATACTTATAAGTGAAATAAATCAGACTCACATGTGTAAACATTATATTGTTTCTCTAGTGTAAGAACCTAAATAATAAATAAAATATGGAAAGTACAATAGGTATAGTAAAACAGAAAGAAACTGAACATAAGGAATATGCAGCTGAGATGAGGAAATGAGAAAATAAAGGGTAAAAAAGAAAGGAAAAAGCCATGTAGGTATATAGACAGGATAGTAGAGATGATTGTCCTGCTAATTTCTGTTGATTTTTTGAAAGTAGTAGTTAATGTTTAAAGTTTTGTACCTTGACTAACTTTACATGCTAATATCTATAATATTAGCAACTTCATCGAGGACAGCAATGTGTAATAAAACAACCATGGTTGCGTCTTGTTCTTTTAAGTGTGTATTGTCTCTAATTTCACATCAAATATTTTTGCACTCTTTTTAAAATCATTAAAAAAGGGTCCAGAGAGATGGCTCAGTGGAATAAGCACTTCCCTGGCAAGCACAGGGGCCTGAGTTCAATCCCCAGTTCTGCAAAATAAATAAATAAAAAAAAAAGTAAAATAATTTAAAAGGGCTGGAGAGACAGCTAAGTGGAATAAGCACTTGCTTGGCAAGTGCAAGGACCTGCGTTCAACCCCTGGTTCTGCAAAAGAAAAAAAATTAAAAAATAAGTAAAAATAAGCAAAAAATTAAGGTTTAATGAAAGGAAAAGTTAATGTTTAATCACTTGATCAATCTGGTGTACCCATATCTGTTAATAAGAGCAACATATTTGAACTTTTTTTTTTTTTTTTTGCTCTGAATGCCTTCAGGGCAGGTTTGGCTGGCTTGAGTTGTGGGGATCAAACCACAGCAACCTGAGCCTGACTGCTTTGTTGAAGCAGCCACTTAAACAACTGAGCTAAGGGGCAGGCCCCCTAGAGCAACATATATGAGGATAACAACCATTGTTAATTTTATATTTTTGTTTTGAAAGGAACCATTTTTATTGTTCTATGACACTTTGTTTTTGTCTTTGTTCTTGTTATTAGTTTTTGGTTTTTGGTTTTTTTTCCTCTTTAAAATAAAAAACCCCTCCTAATTCTTCATCAAGTTTACCAATATAGCATAAAGTTATGTAGTTATCTTAACATTTTCTGGGAACTGTGTTTAAAAGTGTTGGGACCTTTCCCCATTTAATCACCCAGAATTCTGGTAAATATGTTTTATTGTTACTTTAGGGAACTAACATTATGAGATCATAGCTATTTATAACCCAATCTATTCTGTTTTAATTTTATCCACACCTTTCATAGAAGGCTGGATAGGATTAAAGTCTGGAGCTCTTCCAGACCTCATAACTTATTGCATAAAAGTGTACTTGTTCCATCAACTTAATATAAAAGAAAACAGAATTCATCTGTAAAGTAATCTGTAGTTTAAAGAATAGAATCTGAGAAGTAGTTTTCAGATGTGGATAGGGGATGAAGGAGGGAAGTGGTAATAAAACTATGGATGAAAATGTTTGGTATTTTCACATTTGCGGAAATGTACTTTTTTGGTAAGTTTTAATTAGTGATTTGGGTCCAGTGGTGGCTTTTGTGGGACCAAGGGCAGTTTCATTCGGTCAGCCAGCTCTTTCTTGTTCCCATCAGGAGGCCCTCTCAGCAGCCTTGGCTGCTGTCAGGGTGGAGAGGACCCACACTCCTGCCTAGGCTCTGCTCTTCACTCCTGACATCTGCTTCTGCAAGCCAGACAGCCAGCCAGAGCCCTCCCATCTGCAATGTAAAACAGTTTTGGAAAACAAAAGTCTCTTTCTCTTCTCTTGTTATTAGTAGGCTAGACTAGTGATGTTGTTGAATGAATTTTATACATCTATTTTTTTATTGGTGACATAATGCTACAAAATAAATAAAGTAAGCTGAGCATTTCACAACTTATTGTTAACCTGGGAACGATTTTCTGAGATTATGTGTTTTTTGTACAGCTTAACTGTCAAGATCCAAATGTGGAAGAAATGAAGATCTAAGTAATTTCTTCAGGTCTGGAAATTTCAAAGCCAGGAAAAAAATATGAATACAGTATACCTGTTCCCTGTGTCATTGCAGGGATGCATCAGTACACTATGGTTTGATTTAAAAAATGTTTTTTCATTGTCTTTAGTCACCCTTCTTAAGACCTAAGCATGTTTTATAGCACCTGGAGTTTCTGGTTTTCTCTCACTTGACATTCTTCTTCTTGTTTCTTCTGCTGACATGATCCAATTCCCTTCTTAATCCACTTTTAAAAACTTGGTTTCCATATTGCTTTTTCGGATTTTACATCTAAAGGACAGCATGCTAAGAGTTTCATAAGGATTATAAAACTATTTCCATAGTCATATGCTCTGATATATTTTTCTCTTTCATATCTTCTTACCCACTAACCCCCATCTCAGTTTTTCTTCTTCAATACTTTTGCACTGTGCTTGAGGCAGTGGTTCACAGTGATGAGTGGTCTTAACAGTGTCCTTAAAATAATAGTTTATATGACAATGGAATACCCTTTTCTGACAAAACTAAACAAAAATGGGGGATACAAACAAACAACCATGTTGTATCTGTATATTTAAAATAGAACAGATATACAGCTGCATTCTCTTAATTCAACGAATACTGATATTTGTTCTAATAGTGTTCGTGGACAGGATATCATGTCTGCATCTTGTACAA